CTTAGCTACATTCCTGGTCCAGTTTTTCCTTTTAAACCTTTGAAAACTATTTTTAATTAAACTTTATGCACTGGGCATGATGGTATATACCTGTAATCCCAACCCTTGGGAGTCTAAGGCAGGAGGATCACTGTGAGTTTTGAGGCTAACTCTGGGTTACACAGTGAGCTCAAAGCCAGCTTGGACAATATAGTGAGACCATCTCAAAACCAAACCAAAACCAAAAACCAAAAAGCAAAAACTGAACCTAAAACCAAAAAATACACTTTACATTTTAAGATAGTTGTAATTAACATGCAATAATGCTTACCTAGGGCTTTTCGAAGGTAACAGCTGGCAAAACTCTGATAGACTATCACAATCAGTATAGTGACAGTGATGTAGTTAAGATATGGGAGTCTTTCCTTCTTTTTTTGATGGTGGAACTAAGGAATCAAATGGAGGTCCTCTAGCTCACTAGGCAAGTACTTTATCCTTGAGCCATACCCTATCCTTGGAAATGTTTTTTCTGAAACAGGGTCTCACTATGTAAGGTCAACCTCACCTTGAACTCACTATGTAGTGCAGGTTGTCCTTGAACTCATGGCATTCCTCCTGCTTTAGCTTCATGAGTGCTGGGCTTACAGGTATGCATCACCATGCCCAACAGAAACTTTTTAAAATGAGTAGGTCACCATAATGATTATAAACATATCCTCCCAAATCAAAAACAGTGTCTCAAATTCCAAAATTGCCAAGTGAGATCTTAAAAGACACATCACCTTAGGGATTCCATAATGATCTGTCACAGGCAGTATGCAGTGTGGTGTAGAATATTTACTAACTTGTCTTTTTTTCCAGGAGTTTTAGGTGATTGATAAGCAGTGGCAAGTTAACTTGAAGAGTAGAGCTGAATGTTATTTTACTACAAGATGGAGGAGCTCACAAATATATTTGCTGAACAAGGTTTCTAGGGAAAGAGAAAGGTATAAGTATTATGAGGGACTTCTCTTTCCCCATGCTTGCTTTATTCACTGTTTAAGCATGATACAAGGAATTCTGAAGTACTTGCTTCTCTGTGGACAATTCCCTAGATGTGACACTTGTAATTCAGGTTAAGTTTAGGTTAGGTTATTAGGTTATTAAATTAACCTAATAAAGTTAAGTTTCCTTTGGTTTATCTTAATCCTCAGTGTTTTTAATGGAACCTTTTAGGATTGTCTGGGAAGTTTCAGAAACAATAAAAATCTTTGGCAGTCATCTCAGGAAGTGGAACAAAGGGAGATTGCCTGTCCCCAAGGGACATATTTGTCACCTACGGAGGAATTATAAGACCTCCTTCTAGATAAAATATTAATGAATTTGAAAGAGAAATCCTCTTTGGAACCTAGAGAGGTCACATAACATTAAAGGCACGCGGAGATGAGGTCACAGGATTAATCAGAAAAGTAGGAAAGACAGAAGGTTGAAAACTGCAGGTTTCTACATTGAGAAATGTTTTTGAAAAATAATACCAGGCACCAATGCATTTTAAGGAAAGCAAAACCCACTAAATATTTCTATAAGTTTAATGTATGCTTGGGATTAGTTCTTATTTCTGCTTTTGACATCCAACGATAAAGTTCCATAGTCAGGTGCAGTGTCTCATGCCTGTAATCTTAGATACTTAGAAACCTGAGGAATGAGGATCACCAATTTGAGGGCAGCCTGGGCAACTTGACAAGACCCTATTTCAAAAAGTAAAAATTTTAAAAAGGGGCTAGGGATGTAGCACAGTAGTAGAATACTTGCTGAGTATTCACAACCCCCTGGATTCAGACCCCAGCATCACAAAAAACCAAAACCAGGATAGAGTGCTTTCCTAAAATGAACTTTACATGCTGAAACATATAAGCAGGAAGATAAGGTTACCTAAGCCGCATACTCCTCTTTTTATGACACATTTTTCCTCTAGTACTTTTCTCTAAAAACATTGTCAAGTATTGCAAATAGAGGAGGGATAGTTGTCTGAGCTTCTCCGGGGTATAATACAGGATCTTGAAAAACTACCAACAATGAACTGCACAGCACACAGAGCTGGTTTGAAATTCCTGCCGGGGCTGGAGATTTAGCTCAGCAGCATAAGCGCCTGCCTTGCAAGCAGGCAGTCGTGAGTTCGATCCCTGGTACCGATAAAAAGGAAAAAGACAAAAAAAAAAAAAAAAAAAAAAAAAAAAAAAAAAGAAATTCCTGCCCACTTAGGGAGAGGAGTAATTTGTGCTGTTATTTCCCATCCTCCAGAGTAGCTCAAACTCTCCTGTCACAAAAGGTCAACTTAAACACAATGAAGGAATTGAATAGATATCCAGAGACTGGGAAGTGAAAAAAACAGATTTAAGACGAAGCCTAACTTTTTAGACTCCAAATGTCCCAAATATGTTTATAAATCCTCCTAGTTTACTTCATCAATTCTTAAAATACAGTGGAAATAAGAATCTCAGTGGATTCAAAAGAAGGCATTCCAGATAAGAGTGACTGAGAACACACAGCTGATAGGAAGAATAGAAAAGAATAAAAATAAGAGATGCAAAAGAATGAGGACGAGGGGCTGGGGATTTAGCTCAGCGGCATAAGGACCTGCCTTGCGAGCAGGTGGTCGTGAGTTCAATGCCTGGTACTAATAAAAATGAAAAAGACAAAAAAAAAAAAAAAAAAAAAAAAAAAAGAATGAGGACGGAAAGTCTCCCAGTTTGAAATCTCTGTGAAGTCATTCAAAGACTTGAACCATGCTCAATTAACATTCCTGAGTATTAAAAGTACAAAGAAAACACTAAGCAAGCATTTATAACAATACTATGAAATCTACAATAATTGTTTTGACTGCCACCTTTTGCTCATTAGTGCAAATTTTCTGCATTGTAATTACTGTATTGCTTTTATTACATGCTTTTTTACACCTGACTTCAGAGTTAAGTACTTGCCCATCAAGTATTGCAATCACTTTTTTCTTATTGTACATGCAATGTAATAACATACAGTTTTGGTACTTAGCAATATTCCTTTTTGTCTTTAATAAAGGGCATTTATTTGAATTTTAAAAGATAATAGTTATTTGTATAAGATCATGAATTAATTTAATGTAAATAATTTAATATAAATAACTTTTATATCTGGATTCTAGAGAATAATATAGATTCCAGAGACTAATACAATTTTTTGAAAATGTGAGGTAGCTTTTGGTTATTTTAGTATCATCAATCCAAAGCCATATTAGTAAAAATATAAAATAAAATAAAACCATATTATTGTATGTATCACTAAAGTTCCTGTTACTATGGAATTTCCTACCGTCAAGGTGTACTACCAAGCCTGGAATGATGGCACACACCTGTAATTCCAGCACTCAGAGGTTGAGGCAGGAGGATTGTCTCAAAGTCTGAGGCCAGCCTGGACTGTAGAGCAGAATTCTGTCTCAAAAAAAGAAAATGTACCACTCAAGAAATGAGGATTGCTGGAAGAGTTCTGAACTAGGATACAGTGGAGATAAGACCCACCTTTTTGGGGGACTGTAGCAACGAACCCAGAAATTCCGTTTCACCAATCAGAACATCTTATTTATTTTTTTTAAGCAGACATACCTTTGCTTGACATGATCGTGTTACTGGGTGACAACCAAAAAGTACTTTTTTTGCATTTACTTGTGTCTGCTCTATGAATTCTGTGAAAAACTAGTTCTGAGTCTATCTTGGTCTGGGAAAACTGGGTAGTCTTGAATACACCTCGATGATGGGAGGCTTTCTGTCTTGGCAATTATAATGCCAGTTTAGTGAGCTAAGCAATGAACTGGAAACCAGGATACTAATTATAGCCAAGATAGATTCACAGAGTGAGCACAGAACTTCCTTCTTGACCAGACTGAGGAGACTTACCATTAATGTTCATAAAGCAAAATTCTCTGCTTTCTGTTTTGCCCAGTGATGGTGTGTTGGTGTGTTGTGTGTGTGTGTGTGTGTGTGTGTGTGTGGTGATAATCCTTTGTGCCCATATAAGTAAGAAAATATCAAAATTGAAGGCTAAGAATTGCCTAGAGAAGGAGCTGAGTGTGATGGCTCACGCCTGTAATCTCAGCATTTGGGAGGCTGAAGCCTGAGGATGGCCGAGTTTGAAGCCTGCCTGGGTTAAATAGCAAGACCCTGTCTCAATAAAACAAAACAAAACAATTCCCTAGGGTGGATCTTAGAGATTAGGTATTGTATTTGTATCTTAATTTTTTCTCCTGCATTGCTGGGGGTCTTGTGCATGTTCGTATGGCACTTTGTAGTTCTTCTTCTTCTTTTTTCTTTTTGTGACAGAGTGTCCTGCTATTAGACTAGCCTTGAATTCATCATATAGTCCAAGCTGACCTCAAACTCCTGGTGCTTCTCATGCTTCAGCTTCCTGAGTCCTGGGATTGAGGGAGAGTGCCACTAGTCCAGCTTTGTTTGCTTGTTGAGACAGACTGTCACTGTAGCTTGGGCTAGCCTCCCAGAACTGGCTATATGGCCCAGGGTGACCTTGAACTCACAGCCTCACGCTTCAGCCGCCCAAGTACTGAGATTACAGGTTTGCGCCACCATGCCTGGTTTATTTCTCAGCTTGTATAGAGCTATTATCACAACCCTAGCCCCAGGAAACATCTCTTAACTCTCCTGGGCCTTGGGCAACTCCGGATTCCCAGAGGTTCCTTACAGCCGGCTTCCCAAATCAGGACCGGAAGTCCTGCTAAGGTAGCGTCGCTGATGACTACATACCACTACTATGCTTGGAACACGCTAAAATTTACTGGAGTGGAGGACGGAGGTGTCAATGTAAAGTTAAGTTGAGCAGCTAGGTTACGCCCTATTCACTCGACCTATTTCAGGGAGAGTTCATTTTCGCACCAGAGGGGGCGCTGGAACCAAAGGGCGGAAGGGTAGTTCTTGGCGTCGCTTTCCGGCCCTATTTGTGACGCAATCTCTCAGCGCCAGGGGCGGGATGTGCTGACGCCATCTCCGGGCGCCCGGCCTGGAGGGGGGCGCTGGGTGTGGGGCGGCTCCAGGGCCGGGGATGGCGGTTGCTGTGGCTCCAGGACGATCGGGAGGAGCCCAGGGAGCGCTGTGAGATGGGCCGGTGAGTGTTGTTAGGAGTGGTGGCCGCCAGACCAGTCTAAGAGGCCAAATAGGCCTAGATTCAGAGCTTCGGGGGAAGTGTACCCAAAAGCCCCACGGGCCGGGGCCCGAAAGCTGCAGAAAGGGAGCGAAAGAGGCCGCGCCTAGATATTCTACGCTAGGCTCTCTCTCTCCTGGAAGGCGACGTTAGACCCTGGTGACCCCGAGCCTGTGTCTCTGCGGGCCCGAGTGTCCTATTCCTCGGAGCGGGAAAGGGGCCCCCAAACAAGGAAGCATCGCCTGCGGGGCCTGGCCTCCGTCCGGGTGCTTGAAGGCTGACCCTCACTCTCTGGACGCTGAATTTCTCTTTTTGGGGCCGACTCTCGTTGAATCAAGGATTTCAGGATCACGGGAAACCATAACGTCTACTCTTTCCCACGGTTCTCCCTTTCTATCGGGTGCACTTCTCACCCTGTGAGAATTAGGTCTACCGCAGGGTTCACTCTCTAAACTCTGACTCAAGCTTCTTGAGGAGTTTTCTTCTAGGTTTGTTGACGGCTTTGTGGAATGGTCCCCGCAGCCCGTTAGCCCAGTTGAGGTCACACACTATGTTTCTCCTTTAGAAATTCTCAGCAAGTCCCTTGGCTTTCTGTTGTGTTTAGTGGCCCCTCAGTGAACCACAGGTAGGTTTTCTCCGGTTATTTTAGTTACAGAAAGCAAGGATCATTTTGGGATGAAGAAGTGACCCCAGTTTCTGTTGACAATGGAGAAAAACTAAATGCTTTCAATTATTGAAACTATTAGAGATGCATGCATAAAGAAGAGATGCATGACTTATGCTTACTCTGCAGTTTGTGGGGTTAGTAACTTGTCATTTGCCCTTGTTTGCCTATCTTTCCCCCTTTTGTATATCCCGGCGCCATGCCAAGCCGACAATAAATGTGGACTTCGGTCTGGATGCAGGCTTGCAGTGTTCTGTAGAACTGGAACATGACAGTCGGTAGTTTCTAGTACTTGTCCCTATGGTTTTTTTCTCTGTTCACAGGTAAAGGACCCCTTCTTTAGTGTTTAATGTTTCTGGCACGTGTGGATCCAGATATTGATAGTATAGTGGTAGTTTTGTTTCCCCATCGTTAGCTATGTAGAACCAAAGTGGTGTTTTCACTTTCTGTCACACTCAATTCAGTTGATGTAAAGTTGTCAGAATTTTTTACATACACACACACTTTTCCCCCTGAAAGATGTTAATAAACTCCTTTTGATGACCCCCCCTTGACCTCTTTTTCTGCCCCAGAAATATAAATAATTGTTCTTTTTCCTCTAGTGCCACCTTTCAAATGCCTCCACATCTCTAATCATTGGCCCTGAATAAGAATGAAATTCCCTGCTTCCTATTGTTCACATGGAGCAGTATTAAGTCATTTTTATTTCTGTATTTACCAAAAATTAAAGTGGTACATAAATTTTTACCTTTGGGAAATTTTACCTTTCAATAGGAAATAGGATAGAGAATGAGGAAGATGATGTTGAGGAAAAATGATAAAATCTGTTGCATAGAAGAATTTTTTCAGAGGTGTCTTCATGTAAATTAGAGCTTAATTTACTCTAACTGCCTAGGTACTCTAATTTAATATACTGTTGCCTCTAGAGAATAGGATGGGGCTTGTGTATTTTTAAGGTTTTCTTATGGCTTTATAATTATAATTCCCCATAGTGACCCTGGGAAGGTCAGAGGTCAACCTTCTGCTTACTCTATCCTTTTTTCTTCTAGACTCCCAGATCAGCCGGGAGCACGCTTACCACAGCTGCTTGGAAGTACCAGCAGTTCAGGTAATACAGGTTGGATACTTTGTTGCAGAAAAATATCTGGGATGCAGCAATGGAAAAACTGAATATAGTGCATTATAGGAATCTCTTTTTCAGATCCAAAGAACTGGAGTAGTTGGAAAACAAAGGTGCAAAGTTCATATTCATTGAGATATTCAGACCAAGAAGATTCTTTTTGACAGTGGACAAAAGTAATTGTGAAAGGTGACAGTAAAAGAAAGGGAACACAGAATTTTTTTATGACTCATAGATCTAAGACAGAAGCAAACAGGCATATTTGGAAGAATGAAAGAAGAATTTTATGTGTTTGAGGAGACTTTGCAATGAAAAAGGATTCATTGGCAAATGGAAGAAAAAGGGAATGAAAAAGATAAATTGAAGGTGGTTAATGAGAAGAAAAGAAGTCTTGCCAGACTAGAGAACAGGCAGTTTATGTGAGGTCAGAAGAATTTTGTTGCTCTTTGGGGAGGAAGAGAAACAAACTGTAGAGCTAGCTATTGTATCACTCTTCCCAGAGGGCCCACTTTGGAATGCAGTTTCTTGGGGCAAAACAGGTACTATATTTGAAACTGTGTTTAGAGACCAAGATTTAAAAACAAACAACCCACAAATCTCAGGATTTACTTAGGTACTAGTGATAAGAGGCAAAGGAGTATGGGAGTTTAGTCAGTCTTGAGGTGGGAGGGATAGGAGTGGGTGAGATCATAACCCAAATTAGGCTGGGGAAAGGAAACAAGGATTAGATCATACATTCAGGGGAAGAAGATGGCACATTACTTTTTGGTAGCAAAAGGAGAAATTTAGGAAAAAGTAATAAGCAAAGATCATGTGTCCAAAGCCCCCTTAGAAGCAAAGGAATCAAGGTCTTTATGAAAGGCATGATTAATCTTGAAGCTGTTGATCTCTGAGGTTGTGGAGCCCTCAAGTTATTTATGTATTATTGATACTCATTCTTATAGCTCTCTGTGCTTTGTGGTTTTCCTGATGGCTTCTCTTAGGCTGGTCCTAGGCTGGTGAGCAGGGAGATAGCCTCCCCGTCTGCCCTTCTCCCATACTTCCTTTTTCCACCAGTCACCTTTATTACATCTTCCTCCGTGGGCACTGTTCTTGTTTTGTGAGTGTGTGTGTGTGTGTGTGTGTGTTTCTGTAGGTTACTTTTCTTTGCCTCTGATTTGTTCCCTAGCAGATGTGGGCGCCCCAGCCAACAGCAGAAAGGGGTGCAGGGAAGCCACAGAGAAGCCCCTTCTGATGTCCCAAGGAGCACGCCAGCCCCTTCCAGGCTCCAGGAACACCACTAAGCAATATGAAACCTGTTCATGAGAGGAGTCAGGAATGCCTTCCACCAAAGAAACGAGACCTCCCTGTGACCAGCGAGGATATGGGGCGAACTACCAGCTGCTCCACAAACCACACGTCCTCCAGTGATGCCTCTGAATGGTCCCGAGGGGTTGTGGTGGCCGGGCAAAGCCAGGCTGGAGCCAGAGTCAGCCTGGGGGGTGATGGATCTGAGGCCATCACTGGTCTGACGGTAGACCAGTATGGCATGCTCTATAAGGTGGCTGTGCCACCTGCCACCTTCTCACCAACTGGCCTCCCATCTGTGGTGAACATGAGCCCCTTGCCCCCTACATTTAATGTAGCGTCTTCACTGATTCAACATCCAGGAATCCACTATCCCCCAATCCACTACGCTCAGCTCCCATCCACTTCATTGCAATTTATTGGGTCTCCTTATAGCCTTCCCTATGCTGTGCCACCCAATTTCCTGCCAAGTCCCCTCCTTTCTCCTTCCACTAATCTCACCACCTCTCACCTTCCACACTTTGTGCCATACGCCTCACTCCTGGCAGAAGAAGCCACTCCTCCCCCCCAGCCTTCATCTCCAGCACATTCATTTAACAAAGCCCCCCCTGCTACGTCCCCACCTGGGCAGTTGCCACATCACTCAAGTACTCAGCCACTGGACCTTGCTCCAGGCCGGATGCCCATTTATTATCAAATGTCCAGGCTACCTGCTGGATACACCTTGCATGAAGACCCTCCAGCAGGTGCCAGCCCAGTTCTTACCCCTCAGGAGGGCCAGTCTGCTCTGGAAGCAGCTGCTGCCAATGGAGGACAGAGACAACGAGAGCGAAACCTAGTAAGGCGGGAAGGTGAAGCCCTTGACTCCCCCAGCGGCAAGGGTGAAGGTCAAGGACTGGTGCCAGTGGTAGAATGTGTGGTGGATGGACAGTTGCTTTCAGGTTCTCAGACTTCACGGGTGGAGGTGACAGCACCGGCACACCGAGGGACCCCAGACACCGACCTTGAGGTCCAGCGGGTAGTTGGTGCTTTAGCTTCTCAGGACTATCATGTGGTGGCAGCTCAGAGGAAAGATGAATCCAGCCCCCTCAACCTGTCCCATCATACTCCTGACCATCAGGGTGAGGGACGAGGGTCAGCCAGGAACCCTGCAGAGGTGGCAGAGAAAAATCAGGCCCGTGGGTTCTACTCTCAGTCCCATCAGGAACCAGTGAAACACAGACCTTTACCCAAAGCAATGGTTGTAGCCAATGGCAACCTGGTGCCCACTGGAACTGACTCAGGCCTGCTACCTGTGGGCTCGGAGATCCTGGTGGCATCAAGTCTGGATGTGCAGCCCAGAGCCACCTTCCCAGACAAGGAGCCAACACCGCCCCCTATTACCTCCTCCCACTTGCCCTCCCATTTCATGAAAGGGGCCATCATCCAGCTGGCTACAGGGGAGCTGAAGCGGGTAGAGGACCTCCAGACCCAGGATTTTGTGCGCAGTGCCGAAGTGAGTGGGGGGCTGAAGATTGACTCTAGCACAGTTGTGGACATTCAGGAGAGCCAATGGCCTGGATTTGTTATGCTGCATTTTGTGGTTGGTGAGCAGCAGAGCAAAGTGAGCATTGAGGTGCCCCCTGAGCACCCCTTCTTTGTATATGGCCAGGGTTGGTCCTCCTGCAGCCCTGGGCGGACTGCACAACTCTTCTCTCTGCCCTGCCATCGACTACAGGTGGGAGATGTCTGCATCTCTATCAGTTTACAGAGCTTGAACAGTAACTCAGTTTCTCAGGCCAGCTGTGCTCCCCCAAGCCAGCTGGGTCCTTCCCGAGAAAGGCCTGAGAGGATGGTCGTGGGACCTAGAGACCTATGTGACAGTGAGGGGAAGAGCCAGCCCACAGGAGAGGGCCCCCATGTGGTAGAGCCCTCCCAGTCTGAGCCTGGTGCTCAGGCCTGCTGGCCAGCCCCAAACTTCCAAAGATACAGTGTGCAAGGGGAGGAGGCACGGGCTGCGCTGCTCCGTCCCTCTTTCATTCCACAAGAGGTAAAGCTGTCCATCGAAGGGCGTTCAAATGCGGGAAAATGAACCTCTTTCCCAGACCAGACTGGGGCTTTTACCCCAGAGGTGAGCCTCACCGTGAGCAGGCAGAGGATTTGCACACGCCGAGCAGGGAATGGCTCTTTTGGCAGTGAGATTTAGGAGGAAAAGGGAGGCATGAAGGCAGCCTCCCAAGGCAGGATCTGTTGCTCATTACCCGTTGGCATCCTTTAAGCACAGCCCCAGGGGGTGCTGTGATAGGGTGCAGCGGGCCTGGGGCAAGAAAGGGAGGGGGTGCACACAGGAAAAGAAACATTCCAAAATCAGGGCCTCCCTGCTCTTTCCTCCCTATCCCTAGCTCCTGCAAGGGACATATAGGCTTTTGGGGCAGGTGGCAGAGAGAGGGAGCAAAGAAAGAGCCAAAAATGATCCACAGCTTATAGTAGCAGTAAAACTGAAGTTTTTTTTTTTTTTTTCCTTTTTTGTGGTGGAAGGGCAGGAGGCCCCATAGTAGAAAAAAGAGGGTTCCCACCCAGAACCTTCTTGTGAGAGATGTGCACTTTAAAGGGTGGTATTTGTTACAGATATCTATGGCTGGGTGTGTGGGAGAAGAGCACCCTCATCTGCAGAGCTCGCTTGATCCTTGGCTTCAACCTTTTCCCATCTCTCCTCACCATTCCTCCTATGAGGCTTCTAGCAGTTTGGAGGCCAGGAGAGGAAGAAGCCCTTCCAGAGTTCAGAGTGGAGTTCTGCTTTGCCAGAGACCCAGTCAGGGGACTTTGGGAGAAAAACCTCACAGCCAGATGACTGGGCTCTAGGTGGGGCTTCTGGGAAGGTAGCTGACCTAACAAAGCTCCTCCTACTCAGTATGCCAGGCCTGCTTTGAGATTTTCTTGTCTCTAGTTGGTAATGGTGACTTTGGAAAGAATCAGTGGACCTTTTCCCCAGGCACCTGTACCCCTCTGTTGTCTGTCTATGTTGTGCCTAAGTGCCTGCACTGCCCCCACCTTTCTGCCACTCTAGCATCTGCATGGCGTCTTGAGCTGGGCCTTGTGTAGCTGCCCTGCCTTTCCTCTTTTGCAAAAGTGGCTTTGTCCACTCTGGCCAAGACCTCCAATTTCTGGTATGTAGCGGTCTCTGGTTTTCCTATCAGCTAAAATCTGTTTTTAAGAATTCTTAAGTTGTGGCCCCTCCTCTTTTGCCACATACCTTGGGGGAGAAACAAGAAGGGAACCATGCCCTCCCAGGGCAGATGCACCTGGCTAGGCAAGTTCCATTCTGGTATTTTCAAAGCTCCCCATTTTGTGTTATTTCACTGCTTCTCCTAACATTCAGTTTTCTCCAAGCCATCCTTTCCCACCGCCAGCTCTAAGGATCTAGGATAGTCTTAGTAACATTTTAATACCTGAAGTACATTTCATTTCATGATTATCTCTGCACAGAGTATTTTCAGTCTTAGTTGCATGTGCTACCCTTTGTCATAACTTTCCACAACTTTTAGCATCAGCTTCAACTGTGGGATTCTACTGGGTATTGGGATTTAGGCTCCCCCACCAGTTATCAGGTGGGTGAGTGGTCTTGTTTGTTTGATTGGGGGAGGGGGGTCTTTAGACTCTTGAAGGCAACTCAGGGTATTGTCCACCCAACTCTCTGGTTAGATTTCTCCCAGGTATGATCC